TATTTGCAAAACAGAGGGTTTCACTGCCTTGCATTATCTACAGTATTATACACAGTTGAACAGAACTGAAATGGGGGTCCCAAAACAGTGTCCTGTTGATTTGTCTTGTCTTCTCACTGCACCCTGAAAAACCACCAAACATATCCTTAAAAAGACCCTGTCATCAGACCATTCATTTTAACATGCTGTTCTGTATTCAGGTTCACTGACCATAGTCAATGCGTTGGTTGTGTCCGAAGCAAGTATGGGGCATAGGTTTAGGAAAATAGATGATGGATCTATGGCCTTTGTTAGGTAATGTGAAATGTAGGCATAACGGAGAGATGATCACTATACAGAGGGAGCTTGTGTTGCAGTGCATATCCTGGTGTTATAGGAGGAGCCACACTACGCTGTGACGTCACGCCGCCGGAGCAACGTAGAGCTCTGGCGGCCATCTTTAACACTAGATGGACAGTCACACTGCTGTCTATTTTTTATCTAGTTGATCTTACCAATTTGATGCATCTAAAATAAAGTTGTTATTACCTACTACACTATGGGAGTATTCCTGTTCCCACCTCTTGGGTGAGTGCTTTAAACCTGCAGACCTACTATCCCAGGACGGGCTACCACTCTTTATGGATACCTGGTGATATATGACCACTCCTAAGAAGGAATAAGGATACCCCGATACTTGGCATACTGCTTTCACATTTGATGACCCATCCCCCGGATGGAAGACCTTTTCTGCTTCAGGCCCCATCAGATGACACCTGGATTTACTTATATAAGGCGCAATTAATATGCGCGTCTGGTGAGTGCGTATTACTTACACCACTTTAGCACTTCTTGCCGGATCAGGATTCACTACAGTCACCCGATTGGAACTTTCTATATTTTTATATGATTATTGATCTCTATATATGTTTATTTACTTATTTATCAATATATTTATTCATTGCACTCCCTTTCATTGGGATATATGTGAGCTGATATATTGCCATCTCGGACATTATACTTGATAACTTTTTCTTAGCGCTGCACAATTTTATTTTATATGTTCTCATTTATGGTGTTATTGCTAACCCATTTATGTGCATAGTCGCTCATTCACACCGAGGATCACCAATATGGGTCCAAAGTGTTTTAATAAACCTCACATAGTTACCAAGGCAACGTTTCGGAGTCTCGCAGGACATGTCACATGCCTGAAGGGGTCCTGCGAGACTCTGAAACATTGCCTTGCTGTAACTATGTGATGGTTTTTATTAAAACCTTTGGACCCATATTGGTGATCCTCGGTGTGCTGGTGACATTTTTTTCTTGCTGATTTTGTTCGGTTCCAGCCGACGGTCACTGCAGCACCCACTTATACACACAGCCATTTTTAACACAGGAACGTGAATGCGTTTGGATCATACATTGCATTTATGTGCATAGTCGCTCATTCATACTCGCTCCAGGCGCTCACTTTCCTTTCCATATCGCTTGATATGACATGCTGGAATCTCCTTGAGGACTGGCCATGGGTGAATTGCCATCAGTTCATTGTACACTGTACAGTGCAATGTATTATGCATTTTTATCGCTTGAAATATATTCCCATTTTGAGCGTGAGTGGGGCCTCACGTCTAGGTCTTGCCTTTATCTTCTTCCGATGCTGGGCTCTCCCTCCCTCCGTTAAAAATATGCGATCGCGAGGCCTCTGTGAGTGCGAGGCTTTAGGCGACTGCCTAATTTGCCTAATTAAAGAGCCACTTGTGCCCTTCACTCCTTCTCCAGTAGCTACTGGTTGTGTAGGAAGATCAGTATTACATACATTTCAGGGTAAAGAAAACTCTCACTTTAATTCATTCCTTACTGCATATACATTTTCATTTCAGATTTAGGTAGACTTTACCTGTAAGGGCCCATTCACACCATAGTGGTGTGTTAGTGCATTTGAACCAAACTGTACCAAAACTGGGTGAATGTAACATCTCTGGCTGTGCACCACAACACATATCAGTGTGTTGAAGAGTATTGTGCTGCACTGCGCTGCACGTCTGCCATCAACATGTGCTGGGGTACCATTCAGAGTAAATTACATACCTAACATGCCCAGTGGTAATGTGCACAGGACGGCAATCCAGTAGTGTGAATGGGCTCTAAAAAATGCCATAAAATTATGACATAGTGCGATGAATGCAGTTTGGGGAAAGCCCCTCATAAAACCGATGCAAATGTAAATAAACGAGCTCCGCTGGAAAGACGAACAAGTTTACAATCAACAGATGGCTCAGTCCTCCCAGTAATGGGATCGGAGCTCAGACGCATCACGCAACAGAAGAAAAGAGCATGGGATATCGTACAATAGAACTCCAGATAATTATAGTTTCCCTGACAACCGTGCTGCCTTTACGTCAGCCTAGAGCAAATTTCAGCTTGGAAATATTGTGAACGAAAAACAAAAATTTCAGAGAAACAAATACTAATAGATAGTACGGATGGTGCTTCCCTCTTAAAAGGCTGTTTTTATATATGTGGAGGGTAACATTAGAGTGTGTTCCATCCAAACATTTTTTTTGTCAGTTTTGGATTGTGTTGGGAAGGGTGAGAACCTCTGTTACATTTATTTCTATCCCAGGCTCACTGAAGAGACCTCCTCTCACCTAAGTTGTCCATAGAAGGATGGAAATTCGGCCAGTTCAGCTGGGACTAGCCGAATTTCAATCCATGTGTGGCCATGCCTGTTGGACAGAAGTTGATCATTAGATCGCTTGTGTGGATGGAAGAATAAGGTAGTTTTTTTTTCTGTTCAGATTACTGGATAACCAGGAACAAATCATCTATGGCCAGCTTAGCTGTCCCGGTAACGACAATTTTATCAGAAAGGAACTAGTAGAACATCTCCAATGGGGACCAAAACAGAAATAAAAAGCTGACCAATAAACAATCAATCTGCCATCACACCCTTCTTGCCTTGCATATGGTGATACTGTGAAATACACATGGACAAATAGCCAGCACACAAGGATAAAACTGATATTTTACTAAGGTCAAAGATGCAAAGAATTAGAAATAAAAAAAGTTCAAGTGCAAAAAAGCAGAGTTCCACTGATGTTCTGGGGGCATAAAGGACCCCTTTCTCAAGGTGACAGAATAAGTTGGCAAACCATAAGAATTTCGGCTGTCACATTTTTCTGCAGCAGACTATTTTGCTTTTTAAGTTTTTGATAAGCGAGTCCTGCCGCATTTGAATATAGAGCTGTGAAATGTTTTCTAAATCATTTATTTCCTGCTAAGACTGTTTTCACCTATTTCTGTTTTCATTGCCATGGTTTGTATCAGATACCTGAGCGGCAAGGCTTCGGAAAGCAGCAGGAATTCCTTATCGGGTCTAGTGGATTAAATTTTCTAGGAAGAAAGAAAAAAAAGAAACAAAGTTTATCAGCGAAATGAGGTCTAGAAAACATTGAATTGAATTATGGCTATTAAAGAACAACTCAAGCCACAGCATTTTCTTACCTATTTTTGGACAGAGTGGGGAAGGACTAGAACCTCTGTTTTTTTTTATTGATGTCTGAGTCCCAGTTTTCTACAATCATTTTGTGTTGGTCACCATTGTCTTCATGGCAAAAAGTTAGGGAAAATGCTAAAGTTTATGGTTGTCAGACAGAGAAATGGATAAGGATTTTACTTTTCAAGTAACAACTCTCAAAGCTGGGATTTCCTCAAACTCCACTTGTTTCCTGCTATATTTCTAGGACAGGAAGTAAGGCAAAATCTACCTGATAGGCCCAGGGGCGGACTGACAACTCATGGGGCACCCGGGCAATAGGGGATCATGGGGCCCCTGTGTCCTTGCCCAAACTCAAAAAAGCCTATGAAAAAGGTACCAGGGGCATCTCATGGGGCCCCCTACTGACCGAGTTTCCAAATGGTCAGTCCGCCCCTGGATAGGCCCCTTCTCTGGTAATTAAAAAAACGTTTTGTCTGGAGTTTCACATTGAGGGCTTATTGACATTTTTCTTTTTCTGCTAGATGCATTTACAATTAAAATCAATGGAAACAACCAAAACAAATGTCAATGAGACTCAACACATGTAATAATACATGTTGACGCACGTAATGTACGTCAGTAACTGTTGATGCGCATTGACATGCAGTGCAAAGTATATTGCAAAGCAAGGTAACTCATGTTAACATGAGGGTGTCACTGCCCACCTCTGGTTTAGCCAGTTACATTCCGACCCTGATAGTCTTTGAAAGGCAATGAACTTCTAAAGGTCATGGGAGGAAGCCAAGCATCACAGAGAGCATGTATCAATAAAGTTACATGGCAGCACTGGTAAAGCAAATGAGTGTCTGGTTAATATTAATAATATTAATAACAAGTTTAAAAAATTAAGATGTTCCCATGATACCAGGCAATAAAAAGGTGACACAGGTTTTCTGTTTTATTAGCACAGAATTAGTAGAATGTAACAATGTAATATGTTTTCAAGTGTTTCGCTTTATTGAATGGCAGATTGGCCAGCCTTGGCCGTCTTCTCTGCACAGGAACACATGTAAGGCTTCTGTCAAGCAATAAATACAGTTGTTTTTGGGTGTATACACCTTGGATTTCAGATCAGTATGAGATACAGTACTTCTGAGATCATTCACAGTTTGTTCATGGGTACATTTGATCTGCAGTTGACCTTCTGAAATGAAGTTGACCTCTTTCTTATATGCAGTATACCTCCTTCTGGCCTGAAGTTGGCCTCCTTCAGGTCTGAAGTTGACCTCCCTCTGACATATAGTTGACCTATCCCTTGTGTATAGTTGACCTCCTTCTGGCATGTAGTGGACCTCCTTCGAAGCTACATCGACCTGTTTAAAGCTTCTTTGCAAATTGTTATCGACACAGATTCTAAAGATTGTAGTAGGCTGCTTTTGAGTTCATCACCATAAAAGCTGAACTCCTACAGCATACCAGGCATGGTAATTTGGGAAATACTAATTATTTTAAATTTATATGTGCTTATTCCGAACAGTGATCCACAGCAAAGACCTTCTGGCCACCTTACACTTGCTGATTGCCTTGGCGCAACACTACCGGCCTGATCTATCTCTTCCAGCCGATGTTTCTATAGAGGTGATTGTAGTGGAGGTAATTACATTTTTATTATACAGCATGTGTATTCTTTATATCTACCATATCAGCATACCTCCCAACTTTCTGAGTGGAGAAAAAGGGACACCGTGCAGGAAAAAGTATGCAGAAAATGGGCACACCCCCTGCCATGCCTTCTGCTATACATGAGATATACGTGTATATATATATATATATATATATATAAAGTATTAATACACTAAAAATGATTGGTTATTCACACAAGTGTAATTCTTTAACCACTACTTTTCTTTTCAACTGATTTTTTTTAAATAACACATGCTATAATTTAGAGGTTGGATGAAAGGTTTAGGTCTCTGAATAACACTGCAGAGAACTAGAAAAGATGCAAATCTAGCCTCATGACTTTGACGACATGTCATGTGATTGGGACCTTCTTTCCTGTTATATTTTTTAAACCTCCACTCACTTGCTTTACAACTTTCTATGTTTAAATTTCTGCTTGAGACACCTATCACTGGAAACCAGGGGCGGATTAACCATTTGGAAACTCCGGCATTGCCCGAGGGCCCGGGGTCAATAGGGGGCCCCATGAGATGCCCCTGGTACCTTTTTCATAGGGTTTTTTGAGTTTGGGCAAGGACACAGGGGCCCCATGATCCCCTATTACCCGGGGGCCCCATGAGTTGTCAGTCCGCCGCTGCTGGAAACTATGGACTTTCTGCAGGTAAAGTAGTGTTAAACCCTCAACATTTGTTAGGTTAACACACTGAGCACAATAAAATAAACATTCTCCAGTAAATTTTTACCATAGCACTTACAGTTTGTGTTACAGGATTATCAGTGATCTGAGTGTAAGGTATGACAAAGACGCAGCCTGCAGTATCTGTATCATGAGGAAAGCACAGAACACATGTTGCTCACTTGCATTCCAAGTTTAATGAGTTAAAAATAAATGGGTCACATTATACAGATAATTACTTCTTTATAGTGGCAGAGCAGGGCACATGGAAAAGCACATAAATTTATATTAAATAATTATCATTAATAACATATACAGTAGGATACTAAACAGAGAAAGTGAATGTCAGAACAAACACAAAACTGAACAAAGATAGCATAAACAAAGTGTGACTAACCTGTATCAAGAGGAGAACAGAAAACACATGTTGCTCACTTGGATTCCAAGTTTAATGTGAGCTTGTTGGTAGTCTCCTGAAATCACACTACAAATCATCAGAGCTTCCTCTAACTGCAGCCTATTCATTTACGTGCTACATTTGCAACTTTCGATGCTGGTCGCACCTGCTCTTAGTGCTGCTTCCCTGAACGTCTTGTCTTCACAGGAAAATATTAACAGTGGACAGTGCAGTCTCCAGGCAGTCTGTTAGCTTGGAGAAGAAAGGGAAGACACAACTAGTTGTGTTGTGTTGAGTTTACCCAGAGACAGACACACAGCGACAACAATCCATCCACTCCAGCTCATTAATGAGTCTAGGAGTTGTCTTGTTGAAGTTTATTTTCTAGTAGAAACATAGGAAAGGGGATCTGGGGTGATGCAGGATACTCCACATCAAAATATATAGCTAGTACGGAACACTCCTCACTTAGCAGCACTAGTACTAGTGTAGATAGACTGGAGCAGTCTATGGTTCATGGCTGGGGAACATTGAAGCAGTATGAGCACATGTAAAAGCAAACTGGAACAGTCCATGGTTCATAGTTGGGGACCACGAAGCAGCATGAGCAAAAGTAAAGGCAGACTAGCACGGTCCATGATTCATAGTTGGGAACCATGAAGAAGCATAGGTACAAGTAGAGGCTTTACTCCCTGGATCCTGGTACATAGACAGTCCATAGGTGCAGCCTCTGTAAAGTAGTCCAGTATTCAGTCCATAAGGCTCTAGGGGCAAGCAGCCCCTCTGTTCTCAGCTCACCAATCCATCACCACAGGGAGATAAAGACCAACTACTCAGCGCTCCAGAGTTTTTAACAGCAACCTTGCCCCATCTTGGTACACCTCCCCAGGGATTGGCTAGGCCTAATGAATACTCAGACTGGACATTTGAATTCTCCCACCCTAGCTCTAGAAATGTTTTGTAGTAGCAGGGGGAAGTAATCAAACTTTCAGTTTGTGAAGCTCTGAGTAGAGCAAGCCAAACAATCACTACTACTCTATGATTACATCAGGATTTAAAAGCTACATTTGCCTAGCAGACTAACTAGGGGGATGCTACACACAGGCAAAGATTAAAAGATAAAAAAGCTGCATACTCAGTAAGTTATTAGATTAACTGCTGAAAGTGCATTAAAAACTGGGAGTTTAATATCATGTTAACATCACCCTGGTAAATATGTAAAATGAGCTGGCATGGCTACATATGAATTATTTACAAGCAGTATTTCATATTTACTCCAAAAAATGTTCAAACTGATGTTTTTAGCCCTATCCTTTAAAAAGAAAATATATACTAAAGACTGTATATTCCCTTTAGGGCTCATTCACACCATTCGGGCATGAAAACTGATGGGAAAACTGCAGATTTAAGTTGCAGAGATATGCATTTACATCAGTTTTCATGTGCATTTCAGTGAGTTTTTATGCAAGTTGACATCAGTTTTAATGTGCAACAGTTTATGTGCCCTGTTCACCTCACAGTGTTGATGTCATGTCATTTTTTTTTCCATGCAGAAAACTGCATACACATTGCAGATTTCTGCTCATTAAAAATCCGCATAGGATACCAGTGTTGTGGTGTGAACAGGGCACATAGAAAACAATTGTTTTTTTTTTTGCACCCTTGCAGACTGCGTGCAGAAAAACTAACTTCTCTGCAAATGGTGGTATGAACAAGGCCTTAAGGTTTTAATAAAAAAAATGCAATAAAACTTGTTGTAGTGTCCTTAGTTATCAATGATAATAACAGTCCTCTGTATAGATCACCCCCCCGTCCCACATAGAGTCCTCAGTATAGACCGTCCCCCACATCCCATATAGAGTCCTTAGTATAGACCGTCCCCCACATCCCATGTAGAGTCCTTAGTATAGACCATCCCCCACATCCCATATAGAGTCCTCAGTATGTATGCATGTGAGGTTTGTCAGATTCCTTGAAGTCAGGGACTGATGTGAATGTACAATATATGTCAAGCACTGTGTAAATTGTTGGTGCTATATAAATACCTGTAACAAATAAATATTAATGGCCAGGCCCGTACTGGGACAAAAAATAGGCTCGGGCATTTTGGACTGAGCAGCCCAAAGCCCGGGGACCCTTTCCTCAGAGCCCGGTGATGAAACGCCAGGGCTCGGTTGCAAGAGCAACCTTTGTGACCCTGGTAGTTCTGCCACTAGTGTCAGTAGGTTTTTATTTGAATTTAATTATTTACAATTTTATATTTTATTATTTTTTTATATTTTTTTTGTAGGAAGGAAGAAAGGAGGGAAAGAAAGGAAGGGGGGAAAAAAGAAAGACAGAATGAACAAAAGTAAGAGAAAGAAAGAGAGGGAAAGTAAGAAAAAAGGAGGGAAGCGGGAAACAGAGAGAGAGAGAAAGGAAGGAAGAAAAAGAGAGAAAAAAAGAAAGGGAAAGAAAGGAAAGAAACAGGAGAGAGAGAGAGAGAGAGAAAGAAAGAAAGAAAGAAAGAAAGAAAGAAAGAGAGACGTATAGAAAGAAAGAAGGAAGGAGGGAAAGAAGGAAGGAAGGAGGGAAAGAGAGAAAGAAGGAAGGAGGGAAAGAAAGAGGGAAAGAAGGAGGGAAAGAAAGGGAAGGAAAGAAAGAAGTATGGAAAGAAGGAAGGAGGGAAACAGGGGACAGAGAAAAAGAGTTAAGAAAGGGAGACGTATAGAAGGAGGGAAAGAAAGAAAGAAGGATGGATGGATGGAAAGAAGGGAAGAGGGAAGGAAGGAGAGAAAGAAGGAAAGAGGAAAAGAAGGAAAGAGGGAAAGAGAGAGAGAGAAAGAAGGAGGCAAAGAAGGAAAGGGAAATAAAGAAGGAAGGAGGGAAACAGGAGACAGAGAGAGAAAGAAAGAGATACATATAGAAGGAGGAGAAGAAATAAGGAGGAAGGAAAGAAGGAGGGAAAGAAAGAAAGTGAGAAAGAAAGGAGAGAAACAAGAGACAGAGAGAGAGAGAAAGATACGTGTAGAAAGAAAGAAGGAAGAAAGGAAAGAGAGGGAAAGAAGGAGGGAAAGAAAGGGGGAAAGAAGGAAGGAAAGAAGGGAAAGAAGAAAAGAGGGAAAGAAGGAAGGAGGGAAAGAAAGAAGGAGGGAAAGAAGAAAGGAGGGAAAAAAATAAGGAAGGAGGGAAACGGGACAGACAGAGTAAAAGTAAGAAACGTATAGGAGGGAAAGAAGGATAGAGGGAAAGAAGGAAGGAGAGAAAGAAAGAAAGAAAGAGGAAAGAAGGAAAGAGGGAAACGGGACAGAGAGAAAGAGTAGGAATGAGAGACGTATAGAAGGAAGGAAAGATAGAAAGAAGGAGGGAAAGAAAGAATGGAGGAAGGAAGGGAAGGATGGATGGAAAGAAGGAGAGAGAGAAATAAATAAGGAGAGAAAGAGGGAAAGAAGGAAGGAGTGAAAGAGGGAAAGAAAGAAGGAGGGAAAGAAAGAAAGAGAGGGGAAGAAAGAAGGAAGGAAGGAATGAGGGAAAGAAGGAAAGAGGGAAATAAAGAAGGAAGGAGGGAAACATGAGACAGAGAGAGAGAAAGACAGATGTATAGAAGGAGGGGAAGAAAAAAGGAGGAAGGAAAGAAGGAGGGAAAGAAAGAAAGTGAGAAAGGAGAGAAACGGAAGAGGGGGGGTTTGGAGCATACAGGAGCCCAGGGCATGCAGCCTGCAGGAGATGAATAGGAGAAGCGGCTGGGCGGATCATAGAGGAACCGAGAAATGCACAGCCCTCTATGTGCCGCCCGGCCACCTGGCCGCCTCTTCTATCCAGGCAACCCCGGCACACTGGAAAATGCCCAGTGTGTCCTATGGCCAGTCCTGGCCTGTTAATGGCTATGGTTTTGGAATAGGTTGTCCAGCAAGCTCATATTGATGTGATGATCAAGTGTCCACAAATTTTGCTTACATAGTGAATATTGGGTCAGCCTATAAAATAATAAGAAATAAATGTGTGAGACGAGAAAAAAAAAAGGCATATTTCATGGGCTTTTAAAGCCCTCCAGAGTCTGCTGAATGAATGTTTCTGGCCCCAGAATGGGTGTAGACCTTTTGTTTAGACCATTGTAAAGTCTTTAGTTCACTCTGAGAATGTTCTATCTCTGGAGTGACACATCTGCTTTCAGGTTATATTTAGTTTTGCTTTGTCATTTTGGAAAGTTCCCCTTAATGTTATTTTAGAGAAAATCTGCATGTTTTGTTTAGGAAGTGACTCTAATCTGATTTTCCGTGTGGTGAAAGTTAACGGGTAACATAAAGGTCACATCTTAATATGGTTCCCGCATGTCGCCGGCGATTTGTCTTATCCTCTGCACCAATTATATCTGACATTTGCTTTGGCTGATGCTGAGTGCTCCAATGTTTTTCTGTCCTGTGTCATAGCCAACAAAATCCGGAATGAAGACAGGAAAAGCCATTGAATGCTTCACTGGCCCCAGGTGAGAAGTGTCGCCTTATAATGACTACTGACAGCAGGGACTGTCACACGCTGGTAATTGAAGTGCTACACAACGCAAGGTTAGCTTACTATCAAGGAGATGTGTACAATTCACAAATATGTACATATATGGCTAAAATAAAACCTTCCTTTCTATATCCAGAGCAGTTGTCTTGAAGCAAAAAACTTGCATGAAAGGCCTCAGATAGAAGGTGCAATTTTCTGATTCTTAGGCTCATTATTAGTTCTGAGACAATGTGACTCCTCTGCAATGCATTTAGTACATAGCCCTGCAGTCAAGGATAAAGAGTCACAACAGGCTAAAGCTAGAATATGCACATATAGCTTAAAGTTCATTTCCCCCTAAATTGACAACCTTCTTATGAAAATGCTGGCTGCCTGGCTGTCAAGGTAATCCAATATTTGAGGAAAGTGGGAAAATATTGCTGGGCCCATAAAATTATCTTATTGGTACTGCTGTCATAAAATATTGATGTTGATGGAAATTAATCTGGTTCCCAGGCAGGAGGATTCTCCAAAGGATCTCAACAGTCTCCTGGCTTGTAGTCTAATGTAATAAAAATGAAAACTGAAGCACCACACCGCTGCTAAGAGATCCAGATACAACTTTATTCCAAGAAAAAAGAGGAAATAAAGTCCGGAGAAGGAGGATTTTCCTCATCGGCTTCCAATATATGGACTTTATTGGCACACCACGAGACAATACTATATAAAATTCAATACATTTATTATAATATAATTAAAATGTAACACGTATTCAAATTCAAAGAAAAACACATATTCAGAAAGTTATATCCTTGAAAGTAAAACCATACATATATCCTCTGCTGGACTGGTACAATTGCTAGCCTGAACTCCTATGCACACATACACTATATTGCCAAACGTATTGGTCGGCCTGCCTTTACACGCACATGAACTTTAATGGCATCCCAGTCTTAGTCCGTAGGGTTCAGTATTGAGTTGGCCCACCCTTTGTAGCTATAACAGCTTCAACTCTTCTGAGAAAGCTGTCCACAAGCTTTAGGAGTGTGTCTATGGGAATGTTTGACCATTCTTCCAGAAGCGCATTTTTGAGGTCAGGTACTGACGTTGAATGAGAAGGCCTGGCGCGCAGTCTCTGCACTAATTCATCCCAAAGGTGTTCTACCGGGTTAAGGTCAAAACTCTGTGCAGGCCAGTCAAGTTCCTACACCCCAAACTTGCTCATCCATGTCTTTATGGACCTTGCTATTTGCACTGGTGAGCAGTCAAGTTGGAACAGGAAAGGGCCATCCCCAAACTGTTCCCACAAAGTTGGGAGCATGAAATTGTCCACAATGTCTTGGTATGCTGATGCCTTAAGAGTTGCCTTCACTGGAACTAAGAGGCCAAGCCCAACCCCTGAAAAACAACCCCACACCACAATCCCCCCTCCACCAAACATTACACTTGGCACAATGCAGTCAGGCAAGTACTGTGCTCTAGAGTCCAGTGGCGGCATGCTTTACACCACTGCATCCGATGCTTTGCATTGCACTTGGTGATGTAAGGTTTGGATGCAGCTTCTTAGTCATGGAACCCATTCCATGAAGTTCTCTACGCACTGTTGTGTTAATCTGAAGGTCACACAAAGTTTGGAAATTTGTATCTATTGACTCTGCAGACAGTTGGCTACTTCTGCGCACTGTGTACTTCAGCATGCGCTGACCCCGCTCTGTCATTTTACGTAGCCTACCACTTCCTGGCTGAGTTGCTGTTGTTCCCAGTTGCTTCCACTTTGTTATAATACCACTAACAGTTGACCGTGGAATATTTAGTAGCAAGGAAATTTCACGGATAGACTTATTGCACAGGTGCCAACCAATCATGTCACCACACTTACATTCACTGAGCTCCTGAGAGCGACCCATTCTTTCACAAATGTTTGTAGAAGCAGTCTGCACTTGTAGGTACTTGATTTTATACACCTGTGGCCATGGAGGTGATTGGAACACCTGAATCCAATGATTTGGAGGGGTGTCCCAATACTTTTGGCAATATAGTGTATGTACAGTATTCCGTATATATTATACAGACATGCTTCTCCAAATCTAGATCTGTCAACACGTTTCGCAGTAAGATAGCTTAATCAGGATAAAGAGGGTACATAGATAATGGCTAAGTATGTAAAAAAATGTAAAGTACATGTAACAGTAAACAATAAATCATATAAAATATCTAAACATATTTAAACAGTTACAGAGCATACTCCAATATCATACTGACCAATTAAAAGGGTATAGCACTGGAGGGTCTGGTAGGCAGACATAGAGGCATAAAAGAGGTGCCTCTTTTTGCGATATAAATGAAAAAAAAAACAACAATTTAAAAAATCCAATATTTTTTACTTTCTGTTATAAAACATATCCAATAAATAAAACAAAAATAAAATCTCTTCATGAATTTTGGACAAAATATATTCTGCTACATGTCTTTGGTAAATAAAAATCCCAAAAAGTTTATATTGATTGGTTTGTGTGAGAGTTATAGCATCTACAAACTATAGGATATATACAGGAGTTTTTATTTATTTATTTTTTATACTACTAATGGCAGTGATCAGCGACCTATAAGGGGACTGTGATAGTGCGGAAGACAATCTAACACTAACTGATGCAGGGGGGAACTGACTAATTGCCACTGACATCACCAGTGACATTAGTACAGTGATCGGTGCTAATAATATGCACTGACAATGTACTAATGACACTGGGTAGGTAGGGGTTAAACACCTAGGGTGATTAAGGGGTTAAATGTGTGCCAACTATGTGTAATGTGTGTAATTTGCGGTGCTTTTACTAAGGATCTTTTTGTTTTTATTCCCTGCTTAGCAGGGAATGAAAAAACAGCAAGATGCCCTGACAGTGAACACAGCTCTGTATTGTTTAGAATTAGTGGGTCCTGGCTGTCAATCATCATCCGGGACCAGGTGATCAGAATGTGCTGTAACAAACCACAGTACAGCCTTGCCAGTGTGTGCATGCCCCCTGCAAGGTCAAGCAGATCACGTACTAGGTACGCGATCCAGCGCAGGGAGGCCACTTTGCCACTGCACAAGTACATGATGCAGTCTACAAGCCGCTAGAAGTGAACTTTGTTTGCCTGTCAAACCAGCTGCTGAAAAGGCCTACACTTGTATTCACTCTGGAAAAAATCATCTTAAAGGTCCAGTTCAATTCTAGTCTATCCACATTGTTTTCAAGCCCTGATGAAGGTCCCCTGAAATGTGTGGCTACCTTCTTGGATTGTCCCCCTGACCTTTATTGAAATGAACTTGTATCTGGACCTCTTATCAGTGGTGTGGTGCTCCAATTCCCATTTTTATTACATTACCCTAGAAGATAATCCAGTGGTTTTAATACTTTCTAAGTCACTCACCTGGAACAAACATGAAAATAAAGAAACTTATAGTAAAAGAAAAGGATTCACCACAAGATCAGAATGTAAATAATATTTTCTAAGTTTATTAAACAGCACAGGATACAGGTCTCTGAAAAACGCTTTTGAGTGTGAAATATGTAAAATTTCTATCATGTCTAAATTTGGAAAATAATTTTACACCGTCCCGTTGAGCAGTGAACCCTTCATATTCTTGGTACTTATCTGCCTGCAAGATGAAATGGACCAGCACTCAGCTATAGTAGATACATGAGAGTTGAGATCTACTTGGAGCAATTTGTTTGATATATGCAGTGTATATAGAGTATGAAAGTTATAATGAAGCCACAACTCCTGTTCTACATACCTGTTTGAGGTGAATAACTCAAAGTACTGATTCTGTTGGATCAACATGCCAAAAATGTGAAGCGCCACACCAGATATGACTTTACTCCAGTAAAAGTCAGGGGGACAAGCCAAAGAGAGCCATTGCATTTAGAGGTGAAAAAAATGTGCCTTCATCGGGACATGACTGATAACAATAGGAATGGACTAGGAGAAACCTGGACCTGCCAAGCCAGCTACTGTCAAGACATGTACTCGGACTAAAAGAATACCATTAAAGATCCAGTTACCTTCTAGTCCATTCACATTGCTTTCAATCAATCAATTCAATCAATTTGGATTGTCCACCTGACTTTTGTTGGAATTAAGTAATATCTGAACCTTTTAGCAGTGATGTGCTGCTTCAATTTACATTTTTGTTACGTTACACTACAAGCCAAGGAGAGTGTGGAGATCCTCTGGGGGTGCCGAAGCTATTTGTTCAGAAATCAGATTATTTACATAAGATAACCTTACAGGTCTAGCACTATTTTTCCACTTTCCTCAAGAATCAGCATGCCAGTCTCGCCCTAGCAGCCTCCTTTGGGGTTTCCTTTATGGGGTGGTTTACACCTGATTTTGTTTAGGATGCATCATTTCCATTTTTGGAGGGGAAATCACTCCTGCTTTATTTATTGTTACTGTAGCACAACCATAATGCACATTTTGATGTGCTTTGTAGATGTGTTGTGGTGCCATTAACCGCTTTCCCGCTGCCCTACAGCAGAAATACTGCTAGAGGGCAGCAGGGCTACGCAAAATCACGTATATATACATGATTGTGCATTTCTGGGTAGGGGGCACATGCGCGCACCCTACCCGTGCTGCGCCAATGATTTCCCACTGGCACCCGGCGATTGCCAAGTATCACTGACGGGGGAGAGACCTGTATGTAAATAATACAGATGTGTCCCCTGTCAGCTCCTACACACTGCTTTGTATGGCTCTGCATAGCAGAGCCATACAAAGTAATGTGCTGACACAGTAAAACACACAGAGCACACAGTAAAACAGCACACAGTTAACCCTTTGATTGCTCCAGATGTTAACTCCTTCCTGCCCAGTGCCATTAGTACAGTGTCAATGCTTTTTATTAGCACTGATCACTGTATTAGTGTCACTGGGGATGTCAGTTCCCCTCCAGTGTCAGAACGCCCGCCACAGTCCTTCAGTCCCGCAATAAGTCGCTGATCGCCACCATTACTAGTATAAAAAAAATTCCAGTACATATACCGCCATTTGTAGATGCTATAAATAACTCTCATGTAAACCAATTAATTTACACGTATTGGGATTTTTTTTTAGCAAAGACATGTAGCAGAACACATTTTGGCCTACATTTATGACAAAATTTGATTTTTACATTTTTTTACTGGACATGTTTAATATCAAAAAGTCAATAATATTGTTTTTTCTCAAAATTGTCAGTCTTTTTTGTTTATCGCCCAAAAAATAAAAAACACAGGCAATCAAATACCATAAAAAAAAAGCTCAGTTTGCAGGGAAAAATAGGACATAAATTTAATTTGGGTTCAACGTTGCATGACCGCACAATTGTCAGTTAAAGTAACGCAGCGCTGTATTGCAAAAATGGTCTGGTCAGGAAGGGTGTAAATCCTCTGGAGGGCAAGTGATTAATACAACTGACACAACAATGCTTGCTGCATTAATGCACTTTGCAGTATTGTGTTTCTTTGCATTTTACTGCAGCACTTTGGTGTGAAAGGACACTGAGAGAAAAAGTTAACTTTTTAGTAACTTTACAAAACAGCGTGAATAAATTCCTGACATGCTCTAATAAGCAGAAAAGGACTTTGCTAGTCTGAGATTATGTTATTAGTCTGCTGCAGGCAAGAAGAAGCAATCCTTATACTCTTCTATTATAATATTGTAACTCTAACAAGTCACAAGGTGAGAGGTTGCAGCAAGGGCTGATCTGTGTCATACATTTCTGAACACAGCCATTAACTACAAAGACACCAGGATATACATCTTTGAGCCAGCATCTCAGTCCAGGAAGGAGATGATGCCTGAACAAATATGGCTCCATCCTTCCAAGAAAACCATATGGAGGCATTGTCAGGGGTATTACTGTGATCTCTGTAAGAGGTAATAAATACTTGTGTTACACTTGTAGCGGCAACTTTGGGGATACCAGGTAAACTCCGGACACGAACTTGAGGAAAACAAACCTTTTATTTAACCAGCGCTGGTTGAGACTTAGCCAGACTCATGTCTGCAAAGCTAAATGGCTTCAAAAACATCTCACAGAGTATACATATTAACAATTACATCACAATGAATATTTTTACTCTTTCACTTTATTGTACATTCAAAAGGCTTTCTAAACTGTGCAGTATATAGCCTTGACTATCAGCTACAGATAAGAATACCAGCTACAAGCTGGAACACATTACTTCACAGGAAATAAGGGAGGGGGGAAATGAGCTTGTGACCTTGCTTTTGCAAACACAGGCTACTAGGAATATTAAAGTTTAAAGGGGAACTCTGCAATATCTGGGGGCTGCCACACACTTACTTAGCAGACTGAACTTATGACAAAATATAACTGGTACTAAACAAAATGGGAACAAAAATTCATCTTGTCTTGTCTGGGAAAATGAAAGAACAAATTTGAATCCTTTCTGTGGGCATCAATTCTGCTCCATTCTATAAGTAGAACCCAATGTCATTTTTTTCTGGATTGTTCTTTATATCTGTTCCCTGTAACAAGCAGAGTGATAGCAAGCATACGTAATCCCTGTGAAAATCTAGGAGAAAGAACAAAGAGAGGGCGCACAGGCCTAGTGCATTACCATAAAAAATGTTTAATAAAAAATAAAGTAGGTGTTGTACTCACAAACGACAATATAGTCAAGGCACATCATGTGTCATCAGTGTCCAGGACGGCCCATGTGACCTTTGGTTTAACTAGTGGTGAGCATATAAAAGAGGGAGCAGACATTTGGTCAGTTGGCTCTGAGGAAGAGGCAAGTCCTCGAAACGCGTCAGCCTTTTGGATGTCTAAACTCCCTATTGCGGACTGTTACTCAGCGCGGTGTTGACCCAGCTGTTCTTTATGATGTGCCTTGACTATATTGTCGTTTGTGAGTACAACACCTACTTTATTTTTTATTAAACATTTTTTCTGGTAATGCACTAGGCCTGTGCGCCCTCTCTTTGTTCTTTCCCCACTCAGTATATTTGGATTCCCCCGGTCCATTTGAGGGCAGCAAGGTGTGCATGTTCCAGGATATTCTTAATGTGGTTGTAGCCTGCATCAAGTCCATCCCCAAGCGCAGGAGCATTTGTGTTTGCTGGTTCTTTGAAAATCTAGGAGAGCCTGTTACTATTCTTTTTTTTTTTACTTGTAAAACAGCAATGTCATTCAGAATTATATATTAAAAAAATGTTTATCATTTGCAACCAGTTTGCTTATGTTTTTTTTCCTTGTTTGTTCCCCTCATTAAATCACAATTTGCTTTGTAACGTGCACCCTGGGTCACCGCAGGGAGGAAGACGCAGATCCTAGTAAGTCATATCGTGTTTATTTCATGACTCTACAATAAGGTTTGTGTTCTAAGCATCAGGTTTGGCAGGACTAAATGAAATGACCCCTCTAAAAGTGACCGAGCCTGACTTGGAGATGGCGGGATGCAGGCTGTTGCTGTGGCAACAATAGGAGATGTTGACCAGGTCTTATGGGGTGAAAGGAAATAGAGATTAATTGGCATGGATGGGAGCGGTGGAGAACATGGTTAAGCTGTCAGGGCTTCTCCATGAGCTTTCTCTTGCTGTCTGAGCCGCGGCGGGCTGGAGAAAGTGACAGGCCTTTAGACGCGCAGAGTGGGCGCAGATAAAAGCCATTATTTGATAGGCAGCTTGTAAATGCTGGCAACCATAATTATCGAAGGACAAGAAGGAGTTGAAGTTTTTCGAGAGACTGATTTATGGAGGCCTGGAGGCTCATGGTGGTGTGATTGACGGGGTCTAAAAAAAAAGGGGGGGGGGGGAAGAGGAAAGTTTCAAAGTCTCGCTCTGAGAAGTGCTGAGCTCAGCGGGTTTTAGAATTTTTTTTCACCAGAACTTCACATGCTTGTCACATGCCCAACTATACTTTCTCATCAATAAAAGCTAAAACTAGCATAGAAGGTAGCTTCAACTGATGTAATCACTTTTAGGTGTTCTTTCTTTTTTGGGACAGACCCTAAAAATGAAATATGGATGAAAGAAACCATTTAGAACAGGCATGTCAATCTTGTGTTTTTGGGTCATATGCAGCACCTCTCACTCTTTATTTGCAGCCCTCAGAACTATAACTGAGAAAGAGCCCCAGCATTTCTCCAGCTCACTACAAACGCAACACTTTAATATTTTATTTGCTGCTCAATTTTTCAAGCAATGATTTGTGGCCTTTTCCTGGTAAAATATATTGTAAATTGCAGTTGTTACTAGTGGCAGGGCCAGGTCCTCTGGTGCCCAAGACAAAGATGTCAAAATGTGATCCCCCAGCAATTTATTTAGAACTACAAAAACTAACATAAATTAAAGTTGAAAAAAAACTAAAAGGAAATAAGACATTACTAAAAATACTAAGGGTTAACCAAAATTTTAACCACAGATGTTAGGGTTAAAAAACTAATTTGGTGAAGCAGTATTAAACCCAAAACCAGAAATGTAGTGTATTGCAACTTACCAATCATTAGATGTTGTGGCTGCATTAGTTATCTTTTTTTACACTTTTTTTCCCTTCTGTTTTCAACTGGTGATCTGGCCAATGACACACCTTCTGTATTAGTAAGACACCACTCTGGAGGAATGAGTGCAGGACACAGCAGACAGCAGCATTGGCAGCCTGGGGGGGATGGGAGTGTTAAACGTATTATCAGAGTTGAATACATTAAACAAATTGAAGCCAAACTCCAGCTAACACTTTATAATCATTTACAGCAAACAGCTCAGTGGGCTGAACAAAAAAAAAAAAACTGATGTTGCTGTACGAGCAAAAGCAAAGCCACTATGCTATTGTGTTCTGACAGGGGGACCGCCTCCCTGCCAGGACACACTGATCAGTGCTCACAGCCGTTGTCTGTGAGTGCTGATCAGATGCCAATTGGATGCCGGTTCTGCACGGATGAGGAGTTGTACACACAAGCCAAAAGACAGCCGCTTCCTACTGAACCAACTGTTTTTGGATGATTTTCGGCCCTTGTGTACCCAGGTTAAATGTATTCTCCCTTAACGAAAATGGGGAGGGGGTGATATGATCACCTTGTATGAATACAAGAATAATCCATATAGTAAACATGGTGCAAAGCTGTTCACATTGCAAATTATTAGGCAGTACTCTTTGTTCCTGGAGGTAAAGAGCTTTAATCTCCTCATATGGAAAGGCTTCTCCACAGTAAGAGCTCTGAAATGTGGAACATACTTCATTCAAAGGTAGAAATGTCTTTCATGACTGCCTCGTTGGGCTATTAGGTCCCATTTGAGAGCCACTCTCTTATAGGAACGCATCATCAGAAAACTTACAGGCTACCAGGGCTGACCTCTCTTTAGAAAACACTAGTTGCCTGGCTGTTGTATTGATCATTGGTAGGAACTCACTGGAGGCTCTGGATAATCAAATAGATTGCCAGTTCTCTGGGCCAATGAGCGTTCCCTCTGGCTCAAATTGGCTGATTGGCTGACAGGAGTAGTGACATTAGCTATTAGCCACACCCCTTTCCCCAACAATCTCATGCCCATTCAGTTCTAAAAGTAGGGATAACGATGGTTTAGCTTCATCACTTTGAGTCACTGACCTGAAAAATTAGGACTCTGCTTTTTCTATAACTTTTGTGCATGAAATATTATAGAAAGTCGCAGCCAGGCAACTAGTACATCAGAAGGGGCTCAGCAATGGAAGCCTCAGCATTTCTTTCATGACAGATATACTTTAAAGCAAGACAATTACAGTAAAGTAAAAGTAGAAGTCAATACAGAGGGACTGCTGTGGTCTTTGTTGGTTATAATTCTAGAGAACGGAGGATTAGAGCAACCTGTCAGCTTTTTAATAATGTCTGTTTCCCAACTGGGTAGATTTTCCCCCACTTCATGTTCCAGTGACACAAGATGAAGTAAAGAAGTTCCATTGCACCTGTTTAGCAGAGATGAACACCTGTAATGGACCAATCATTTGTTGCAGGGGTATTCCTTGCCCTGCAGCTGCTTGTATATATGGGACCTGTATGAGTGCAGCTGCAGGGCAGGAAATGCTTCGGCCATTGCAGGTGATTGGCCTATGGCAGGTGACAGCTTCCTAGTGGGCTTTGCCACATTGCTTTGCTGTGTGCTTGAATTGATAGATCTCCCTGTATGTTCTATAAAATACTCAAATCTAATAAAATCTAACAACATTAAAAAAGACAATATAACCTTTGTGCAGTGTTTGTCCAAGCATATAATCTGTGTAAGCAAAGCCTCTATGTTTGTAGTAGTACATTTTTATTTAATTTACCATCTTTTCCTGTCCTAGATAAGGATCCATTTAACCAACTTTTTGAACTGAACCCAGACAGGATAAATGATGTGAAACAGGTAATTTATATAAGTATGGGGGGTTGGGGGCAAGTGCAACAATCATGAGCACCAAAGGGTTTCTCTGTGGCATATTTGTTGATATTTCTATAATGTCTTAATTATATTTAATTAGATTTGGGTTTTTTTCTATCTGTTCCTTAAAATTTTACTGGTAAACTTTTCAAAATGGCTGCTGAAGTAACTCTAACCTTTGCTACAGTAGCCATGCAAGAAGAGCTGAAGATATTTTATATACACTATATTTCCAAAAGTATTGGGACGCCTGCCTTTACACACACATGAACTTTAATGGCACACCCAGTCTTAGTCCATAGGGTTCAATATTGAGTTGGCCCACCCTTTGCAACTATGACAACTTCAATTCTTCTGGGAAGGCTGTCCACAAGGTTTAGGAGTGTGTATATGGAATGTTTGACCATTCTTCCAGAAGTGCATTTGTGAGCTCAGGCACTGATGCTGGATGAGAAGGCCTGGCTCACAGTCTCTGCACTAATTCATCCCAAAGGTGTTTTATCGGGTTGAGGTCAGGTGCAGGCCAGTCAAGTTCCTCCACCCTAAACTCACTCATCCATGTCTTTAAGAACCTTGCTTTGTGCACTGGTGCGCAGTCATGTTGGTACAGGAAGGGGCCATCCCCAAACTGTTCCCACAAAATTGGGAGCATGAAATTGTCCAAAATGTCTTGGTATGCTAACGCCTTAAGAATTCCCTTCACTGGAACTAAGGGGCCAAGCCCAACCCCTGAAAAACAACCATAATCCCCCCTCCACCAAAGTTTACACTTGGCACAATGCAGTCAGGCAAGTACCGTTCTCCTGGCAACCTCCAAACCCAGACACGTCCATCAGATTGCCAGACAGAAGCGTGATTCATCACTCCAGAGAACACGTCTCCACTGCTCTAGAGTTCAGTGGGGGCATGCTTTACACCACTGCATCCAACGCTTTGCATTTGCATTGAAATTGGTGATATAAGGCTTGGATGAAGCTCTCTATGCCCTGTTGTTGTGCTAATCTGAAGGCCACATGACGTTTGGAGGTCTTTAGCTATTGACTCCGCAGACAGTTTGCGACCTCTGTGCGCTCCAGCATGCAATGACCTTCCTCTGTGATTTTACGTGGCCTACCACTTTGTGGCTGAGTTATTGTTGTACCCAATTGCTTCCGCTTTGTTATCATACCACTAATAGTTGACCGCGGAATATTTAGTAGCAAGGAAAATTTCACAGATGGACTTATTGCACAGGTGGACAATCTATCACGGTACCACGCTTGAATTCACTGAGCTCCTGAGAGCGACCCGTTCTTTCAAAAACGTTTGTAGAAGCAGTCTGTATGCCCAGCTGCTTGATTTTATACACCTGTGGCCATGGAGGTGATTGGAACACCTGAATCCAATGATTTGGAGGGATGTCCCAATACTTCTGGCTATATAGTGTGTGTATATATATAAAGGTTCCATATATTTTAGTCTAACTTTGTCATGTCATATACAGTATGGATAATTTTCTCTACCTAAAAGTAAGCGAAATATACTATGGGCTTAAGGGTGACAGGTGTAGAATGGGGTCTTTAGTACAAGGTCAGCAATGGGTCCCCATCTTGTATAGCTATTCAGTGTAGATCACTTCCTATACATGCTCACTGATACAACCAGGGAGGAGATGAGTAGCAGTAGAGATCCTGAATTATACTTCTCTAGCAGCTGGGGAATTGCCATAGTCCAGTGGTTCTCATTTCTCCAAAGTCCTGCCTCCACCTGGGAAATCCAGTCCTCTATAAATCATTTTTCATGGTGATGAAACCTTGAAAGTATAAATGGTTGCTACTGGATGCAAAGTTTTCAGTAGACTCCATTAAACACAAAGTTATAGACTCCACTGTACACAAAATGTCAGTAGACTCCACTGAACACACAGTTATCAGTAGACTCCACTGTACACACAGTTATCAGTAGACTCCACTGGAGACAAAGTTATCAGTTGACTCCACTGGACAAAAAGGCATTGGTAGACACCACTGGAGACAAAGCTAAATGTAGACTCCACTGGACAAAAAGTTATCATAAGACTCCCCTGGACACAAAGTTTTCAAAAGACTTCACTGGGCAGAAAGTTATCAGTACACTTCCCTGGATAGAAAGTTATCAGTACACTTCCCTGGACAGAAAGTTATTAGTACACTTCCCTGGACAGAAAGTTATCAGACGATTTCACTTGACAAAGTTGTCAGATTACTCAACTGGAGAGAAAGTTATCAGTAGACTCCACTGGACACAAAGTTACTAGTAGACTCCCCTGGACATAAAGTTATCAGTAGGCTCCCCTGGACACAAAGTTATCAGTAGACTCCACTGGACACAAAGTTATCAGTAGACTCCACTGGACATAATAAAGTAATCAGTAGACTTCACTAGACACAATGTTATCAGTAGACTTCTCTGAAGACAAAGGTGTCAGTAGACTCCACTGGACAGAAAGTTATCAGTAGACTCCACCTGACAGAAAGTTATTAATAGACTCCCTTGGACAGGAAGTTATCAGAAGACTCCACTGATTCCACTAGAAGCTGGTTGACTACCATGCACAGCTGCGCCAGTTTCTAAGTGTTCCAGTTTTAGTAAATCTCCCTCTAAGTTATTAGTATTATTATATTAAAATTATCAATACACTCAACTGGACACACAGTTATTAGTTGGCTCCCCTGGACATAAAGTTATCAGTAGACTCCACTGGAAACAAAGTTATCAGTGAACTCCACTGGACAAAAAGGTATTGGTAGACACCACTGGAGACATAGCTAAATGTAGACTCCATTGGACAAAAAGTTATCATAAGACTCCCCTGGACACAAAGTTATCAGTAGACTTCACTGGGCAGAAAGTTATCAGAAGATTTCACTTGACACAAAGTTATCAGATGACTCAACTGGACACAAAGTTATTAGTAGAGTCCCCTGGACACAAAGTTATTAGTAGACTCCACTGGACATAAAGTTATCAGTAGACTCCCCTGACACAAAGTTATCAGTAGACTCCACTGGACATAAAGTTATCTGTAGACTTCACTGGACACAATGTTATCAGTAGACTCCTCTGGACACAAAGGTGTCAGTAGACTCCACTGGACAGAAAGTTATTAATAGACTCCCTTGGACACAAAGTTATCAGAAGACTCCACTAGAAGCTGGTTGACTACCATGCACAGCTGCGCCAGTTTTTGAGTGTTCCAGTTTTAGTAAATCTCCCTCTAAGTTATTAGTATTATTATATTAAAATTATCAATACACTCAACTGGACACACAGTTATTAGTTGGCTCCCCTGGACACAAAGTTATCAGTAGACTCCACTGGAGACAAAGTTATCAGTGGACTCCACTGGCCAAAAGGTATTGGTAGACAACACTGGAGACAAAGCTAAATGTAGACTCCACTGGACAAAAAGTTATCAATAGACTTCACTGGGCAGAAAGTTATCAGTACACTTCCCTGGATAGAAAGTTATCAGTACACTTCCTTGGACAGAAAGTTATCAGAAGATTTCACTTGACACAAAGTTATCAGATGACTCAAACTGAGAAAGAAAGAAAGTTATCAGTAGACTAAGACTCCCCTGGACACAAAGTTATCAGTAGACTTCACTGGACACAATGTTATCAGTAGACTCCACTGGACACAAAGTTATCAGTAGACTTCACTGGACACAATGTTTATCAGTAGACTCCTCTGGACACAAAGGTGTCAGTAGACTCCACTGGACACAAAGTTATCAGTAGACTCTACTGGACAGAAAGTTATTAATAGACTCCCTTGGACAGGAAGTTATCAGAAGACTCCACTGATTCCACTAGAAGCTGGTTGACTACCATGCACAGCTGCGCCAGTTTCTGAGTGTTCCAGTTTTAGTAAATCTCCCTCTAAGTAATTAGTAATATTATATTAAAATTATCAATACACTCCCCTGGACACACAGTTTTAGTTGACTCCCCTGGACACAAAGTTATCAGTAGAATCCACTGGAAAGGAAGGTATTGGTAGACACCACTGGAGAGTGAGACATAGCTAAATGTAGACTCCACTGGACAAAAAGTTATCATAAGACTCCCCTAGACACAAAGTTATCAGTAGACTTCACTGGGCAGAAAGTTATCAGTACACTTCCTTGGACAGAAAGTTATCAGAAGATTTCACTTGACACAAAGTTATCAGATGACTCAACTGGAAAGAAAGTTATCAGTACACTCCACTGGACAAAAAGTTATTAGTAGACTCCCCTGGACACATAAAGTTATCAGTAGACTCCACTGGACACAAAGTTATTAATAGACTCCCCCTGGACATAAAGTTATCAGTGGACTCCACTGGACAAAAAGTTGTCAGAAGACTCAACTAGACATAAAGTTATCAGTAGCCTCCACTGGATACAAAGTTATTAATAGACTCCCCTGGACACAAAGTTATTAATAGACTCCCCTGGACATAAAGTTATCAGTAGCCTCCACTGGGCACAAAGTTATTAATAGACTCCCCTGGACACAAAGTTATTAATAGACTCCCCTGGACATAAAGTTATCAGTAGACTCCACCGGACAAAAAGTTGTCAGTAGGCTCTACTGGACACAAAAAAGGTTATTGAAAAGTGAAATAACCACCTGACCGGGGAACACCAAGCTCTGTTTCCAACCCCTCATCAGGCTGCCTGTGTATTGTACCAGCTTTGATTTTGCAATGATGCCTGCTAATATATTGAATAAACTTGCAGAAGGGAATGTTCTAGCTAAACAATTACAGTAATCTCTCACTAAACTATTTATTAATACTCATCTAAGAACATGTTTCTCTTGCTTCCCTACAGGCCATTGTGAATTTCGTGAATAAACAGCTGGTAAACTTGAGTCTTACTGTGACGGACTTAGACTCCCAGGTTAAGACCAATGTCTCCTTGACCTCCTCTTTACAGTTTTTTTTTTTCCATTTTACAGAAGTTGACCAAAATAACTTTTTGGCTAATTGCAATTTTGAAGATAGACTAAGGTTTTCTTCTAGGCCAGTAGCTCTAGCAATTCTGAATATTTTGTAATGTCTGCATTAAAAATAACTTCAGAATTTTTCATAAGATATCTGTACCTTGCAAAAGATGGGAGCCATGACAGGACTATTCTGCTAAAATTCCTGTGTAATTCAAAAAACCAATTAAAGTCGAACTGAAGGCAATTTTTGTTCATTTTGAATAGAGTAAGAAAGGGTAATTTTTTTTTTTTGCTATCTGTGTTCCTTTTGGGGGATCTCCCTTCACTCCTTGTCCCATAGCCATGACAGGAAGTGAAATGAAAACCCACCAAAGAGAGGAAAATCCCTGGTAGTCAGCAGAACGTATGTAAATGAATAAGCTATTGCACTGACTAGACCCCAACTGTCATTTAACAGGGCAGAGGGCCAGGAGAGTGCTGGGGAACACCAGGTGAAATGTATGCAGCACCTCTCAGATTAGGTCTTGATATCAATGCAAATATATAAAACAAACACAAGAGGGTGCCTCCATTTAGGTGTAGCGATTTATAAAAGCAAATAAAAGCCAATAAATTTCCTCTCACTAGTTAAATGTGGATCAAGGCTTGTCATAAACCCATATAGACCTCCATGGGATCTCTGTGCTACACCTGGAAGCCACTGCTGCCTATGTTCTAGCCTGACAGCCAAGAACTTCCACCAAGAACTCTGCTTCAGATAACCTACTTCCACCAAGAACCCTGCTTCAGATAGGCACTTGCCTGCCGAGCTCTGCAGGCTCACGGTGTTCCTATGGAGGTCTATATGAGTTATGACAAGCCTTAAACCACTTTTTAACTAGTGAGTGCATTTTTATTGTCTTTTATTCATTTTAATAAATCCCTACATCTAGATGGAGGCGCTTTTTTTGGGGGATTTTTCTTACTCTCCATGGTCATCAGGACAAATACAGACAGCAATAATAACCAGACAGGTGTTCTAATTCCTCTCCACTCTATCTAAGACTAAAAAAATAGGTCTGTCTTCAATTACACTTTGATGATTTAACCAACCATGACTTAGCTAAATTCAAAATATCAATGTTTGGAGGCATGGGTGGCTTGACAGGTATGCTTCAAGCAAGGACTCTTTTCAACAAAGATCTTTAAAAATTGAATATGAATAGTTTTGTCTCCAATTCTAAAGCTGCAAATTAGCTAAACTGGGCACTCCGAATAATTTTTTTTGCCTGTGCCTACCTTGGTTTGAGATTATTGGTAGAGTGAGGCTTGTTGTGTCTGTGCCCCCCCCCCCCCCCCCACACCATCTATGACATGCTGCAAAGTGATTGTGACTTCCGGTTATGTGAATCCTTTCATGTTTGAGGCTGAAAATGGAATGGGTGACGGGGTATTTAATTTTTGTTGGTTTTCTATAAAATATCATTGTGGCTATGTTATGTGGTTAATGTAGACACACCAAAGCCCTTCTGTAACTACATTTATATTGGTCATATTTTGTTCTACAGTTTGCTGATGGGGTCATTTTGCTGCTATTAATTGGACAAGTGGAGGGCTATTTTATACCTCTATCTACATTCTTCCTGTGTCCAGCATCAAAAGAAGACAAGGTGAGTTTCTGAATGAATATTACCAGCTGTAGACCTATTATACTTCAAACAGTTATTCTGTATTTGTGGTGTATCTAGCCATGATATCTTCATTTAAAGTATAAGAGGTGAGTCTACGCTCAGCTGAGATCTGACATATGTGGCATAAATATTGTTAAAGTGTTTGTTACCCTAAATATTTTTTCTATGTGTTTTATAAATTTTTATGTACAACTTCCATCTGAAGTTCCTGATTGATCACCTGGCAGTCACCTTTCTTCCTTGTTCTAAACTGACCACACAAAGCACAGAAGCTGATCTGTGTTAGCACGGTCAGTTTATAATGTTTGGCTGGCCATTGAGAGGTACTGTAGAGAACACCTCTAGTTTGTTCAGCCACCATCCCCCCCCAACCAATCACAGCCTGACTCTGGCACACAACCCCTCCCAATCAAAGCCTGTGTCAGGGAAGGCAAATATTTCTGCATAGATGTAAAAAACATTATAAATACCTTTTTTCACATACCCTCTGTTCTCAGCTACACAAGAGCTGGGGGAAGAGAAACAGCAGAACACTGATCTTCCCCGCGACTGGCTGTGCAGGGGGTGCACGTGTCAGGACAAGTCTGATCATTGCAGGAGGGCTGGCTGATTTCCCAGCACATCTAGAGATCTAATCACGCTGAGCACCCATGTCCAGTGTGGTCAGTGTACATGGTACAGCAGGCACATATCAGGAATATGAAATGTTGGGTTTACATATTCTTTAAATGTGCCAAAGTGTGAAGCTTTTTTGTGCAGTATTTTCATATTTATCTGACTTAAAAGGTAATATACATTTTCCAAAATTTTTATTCTCCTGAACATAGTACACAAATTTAGAAAATATATAGAGATAAACTATTTATTCTCAATAAAGCGGCGTTCCATCCAAAAGTGGAAGCTCTGCTTTTCTGCCTTCTCCCCCCCCCCTCCACTGCTACATTTGGAACCTTTTGGGGGGGAGCAGGTACCTGGTTTTGACAGGAACCCGCTCCAACTTCTGGCTCAGTTCGCCACGGTGAACTGAGCCAAAACATTGGCATTCCCCGCAGCCCTCTGACACACTTCCAAGGTCTCAGAGGACTGCAGCCCATTCACAAAGCACAGCGTGCTTTGCGCATGTGCAGTAGATAACTGGCAGTGAAGTTGCAAGGCTTCACTGCCGGTTTCCCTTAGTCAGGATGGCAGCACCAGCACCCAACAACCAGTTGAAGAATTAGCTTGGGTGGGGACACCGCCAGATGCATGGACAAGTAAGTGCCCCACTATTAGAAGTCAGCAGCCACAGCATTTGTAGCTGCTGACTTTTAACTTTTTTTCGGGAGGTGGGCAGGGGCCGGAACTCCGCTTTAAAAGCTGAACTTCTGGCAGATATAAAAGAAACAAAAGCAGTTCTCTATTAATGTATCTATTTTTAAAAATACAACTAGTGTAAGTACTTGATTTTGACTTGCTATCAGCTGATTTCAATCCCCCATGCAGCAGAGCTCAGACTGAAACAGAAGGTATAAGCAGCAGGAGGAGCCAGTAAATTATGTTAAGTGCTTATATGCTAGCAATGAGCATGCTAATAGAGGAAAGAGCACAACAGAGAGATGATCTCATCAATCTGTTTCTTTTTTCACTGCTCAGTGACAGTGTTACTGAGCGGCAGCAGAGAAAATCAGGTCTCCTGCCCTGCAAGATAGGACTGTGCTGTGTGGCAGAGCTGTGTAAATCTCAGGACGGGATAGACAGACATGCAAATCCTGTGTCGGATATGACATATTTCTTCTATAAAATTATCAGCATGTGGGTTAGTGAGACAGGGCAGGTCACAGAGAAATAAGTTAGGCCAGAAGGGATGGAGTACCTTAAAATCCCCCCCCCCCCCACACACACACACGTATGCTTCTTTACTGAATAAGCAAAGGAAGCATCTATTTTATTTCCCTTTTCAAATTTAAGAACAGTCACATCACCAACAGATTCCCACTCCACAAGCCCTGCTAATCACTGTAATCACTGAAAAATGTCAGATTGCTCCTTTCCAGAAAAGAAAAACATCTCCCCAACTTCCAGGCGTACACAGGAGTGGGGCAGTCGCCCACCCACTTTTAGCCTGATTACAAGAATCGCAGCCAGGGAATGACAGCCTGACAACTTGATTTGAGGTTTGCATTCCTCTATCAGCGCTGACAGACAGGGGGAAACAGAAGACTATTCAGATCCTGCACAAATGTTTTGATTTGAGTGACAGAATAAATAAAATGTTTGCTCGGCAACGCACTCAGTCAGGAGAATCAGAGTCCCGCCAGAGGCTCATGAATCTTTCATCAATCAGGTGGAAATATGTAATTTATGTAAATTTCCCCTAAAGGAGTCATTGGCGTTGCAGAGATAGTTTGTCTCCGAGTGAAGTCAGTGACAAGTCATCTGAAGTGTGTTTGTACAGCTTTGCCGAGGCATGTGTTCAGTTATGAGATGCAAGCCTTGATGGTCAGGAGGACAGACAGAACCGCTAGCTGTCATCTGGAAATTGTCTGTTCCTGGATTAATATGACCAGTCTTTGCTTCTGCCGATATCGCGGGAAAAAGAACGATTCAGTCAATGCATTATTTTTTTAATATCCGCATGTTTTGGAACCTACATACAGACATTGATCATTACTGTGTCATTCTCAATGTTCTTTTAAAATGTGTTATTCTCACTTGTAAGATATAACAACCAACTCATCTTTTAGTTGAAATTGGCTAAATACATTTCAGGTGTATCTAAGGAAACAGTATTCAAAGTTTTACAGTTTTCCTTTAGAAAAAAAAACACATTTTTGTAGGAAAGTTGCCCCTGGCTGCCTCAAGCCTTGATTATTGGTAGTGAAGGCCCTCAATGATCTTTCTTGGTCAATAAGTTACCTTTTGAGGGCCCCTAGTAATTAAATACTGGATGGTTGTTTCAACACTACTCAGTTTTTCAAATGAGCAGTGAAAGGTGCAATGAAGATATTCAAATAGAAGCAGGGGCGGACTGACAACTCATGGGGCCCCTGGGCAATAGGGGATCATGGGGCCCCTGTGTCCTTGCCCAAACTCAAAAAAGCCTATGAAAAAGGTACTAGGGGCATCTCATGGGGCCCCCTACTGACCCCGGGCCCTCGGGCAGTGCCCGAGTTTCCAAATGGTCAGTCCGCGCCTGAATAGAAGTAAACCAGAATACCCAATTGTTTTCCATTTTAGTGTGCCAACAAAAAAAAGATCAGTGATTGGTTACTTTGGGTAACTATGTGTCTAAGCTTTATTGTTTAAGATATTAGATTAATTTATAATTCTGCTTCTGGCATTATGAAAACCATATATGTTCTGTTTGTCAGCTCCACAATGTTAGCCTTGCCCTGGATCACCTTACGGATGGAGGGATCTTAACAAACCCAGTGGATCCTGCAGGTCAGTGTTGCAAATGCAAAATATATTTTCTAATCATCCGATGTGTAGCCGTTTATATTCCTCTAAGTTTGCAAAACAAAGAGTCAACCAGTCTATAGCCACACAGCTATAATAACCGCTGAAAAATTAAAAAGCCTTTGCCATTCCCAGGTGGACCATTATGTGTTACAGAATCCGTACTCATTATTATCATCATAATTATTATATCATCATCATTATTACCCAGGCCTGGGAGGTCTGAAGGGAAATACATTGCCCATTTTCTGAAAGGCCAGGTTGTATAACTCTACAATCTCTACTAGCCAGTACAGCTTATGCTAACCAGTCTGGAATGGCTTAGAGTTAACAGGTCTCTAGAGGGTGGCTCAGTGAAAACAATAAGTGAAAAGGCTCACACTCCTGCGCTGCTTCACCCTATGGAAAAATAAACAAAGGAAAACAGTGCACTAACTCCTAAAATAATCCTCCAGTAATCCCATGCAAGATAAATCTATACTACAATAAAAGTACAGAGCTATTCCTGTCCATTCATTCTGTGCAGCTGAGGTTGCAGAGATGGAGACTTAAGGCTGCGTCCTCAATTTCGTTTCTCTGTCTCAAAGTTGGAACATCAGAGGTCTATTTAAACCCCTGCTATTTCACCAAAGCCTAAACAAATGTAGAAAATATTAAAAGAAAATATATTGTCAAAAAAAATTTAAAATTTAAAAAAATGGTAAAAAAAATCCCCCCACAAAAATAAAAAACTTGCATTTGCGACTGAGCCCTTGAATTCCACCACTGGGCTCAGAGGAAAGGGCCTTAGCCAGGGCTCAGGGGGGCCCTTCATGAATTCTTGAACTGGGGCCCTGAAGGTTCTAGTTACACTTCTGGAATGTACTGTATACTGTCCTGGGTTAACCACTGTTTTGCCAATCCCCAGTGACAAAGTAGAAAATGTTCTGTCCTTGGTTGATCACAGTGGGAATCCCATGGAAAGTTTACTGTGCTTAGTTGGTTATTGGGCATTGGCAAACCAGTGATCAAGTGGAAAGTACAAATTATAGTCCTTAGTTGGCCACTGGCTTGACAGTATCTGGTGGGCAAGTGAGTGGTATACCATCCTGAGTTGACCACAGTTTTGACAGTCTCTGAAAGTATACCTTGCAAATAATGCAATCATCATATGGCTTAGTGCAGGGATGCCCAACTTTTTGAAGAGTGAGGGCCACTTAAGAGTCTTGGTAAGCGGTCACGGACCACAGTGAGCAGAGCGGGCAGCAGACAGGTCCGTGTCCACTCCATATGCACAGCGGACACGGACAAGCCCACTCTACTCTGTGGACACTCTGATCCACCCAGACAGAAGGGGATGGATTCCTTTCTGTTTTTTTTAGTGTATCAGATTGAAGGTAGGACACAAGTCCATTTAGATCTGCTGCTCCATAGATGTGAATAAAGGGTCCGATTGGGTTCACCTGAAAACGGATAGGCGAACCCGATTGGACCAAACATGTTAAAGGGGTCTAAGGCTGCTTTCACACTGATGTGCTGCAACTTATTTGCACCGTGGGTGCAGTGCAGTGCACCTATAGTTTTCCAGCGCGATAGTTGCATTTTGCCATAGACTTCTATTATAACCTACAGGTGTGGTGCACTTTCTGAAAGTGCACCAAACCCGCAGGTAATAACAGAAGTATATGGCTCAGTGCAGGTAACCCACATGTGCACTGGACCGCACCTACGGATTAGTTTGAAAGCAGCCCAGTAACCACTGCAGAACATATATGCCCATATATACACTGTGATTTCAGTAATAAATTGACCTTTAATAAGTCTTCCATTCAGGAATCACCCTTTCTTCAGGTATCACGACTGTTGCTGTCCCAGGTGGAGTGCATTTAATATCACTCCACCTGTGACAGGACCCGGCACTATACAGGAAGAATTGGCTTATGAGGCTCTGCTCCCTCCGCAGCCAAATGCTTCCTTTACCGCTGGCTCCATTCACAACACTGCTGCTCTGGGATGGCGGGTTGACAACCTATGATCTAGGCTTTCTGACATGAGCAGGAGGTCACAGGCCATATCAGAGGGCTCTACAGGCCACCGGTTGGGCACCCCTGACTTAGTGAAACAGATCATGCTAGGTAGAACTGAAATATATGTTGCTCAATCCCTTCCACCCAAATAGAAAAAAAATAATTTAGTGCTGTAGGAATCATTTGAAAATGTACTGCAAAAACGTAGAACATGAAAGACCAGGGGCAGACTGACCATTTGGAAACTAGGGCACTGCCCGAGGGCCCGGGGTCAGTAGGGGGCCCCATGAGATGCCCCTGGTACCTTTTTCATAGGCTTTTTTGAGTTTGGGCAAGGGCAAGGACACAGGGGCCCCATGATCCCCTATTGCCCGGGAGCCCCATGAGTTGTCAGTCTGCCCCTGTGAAAGACCCTAGAAATAACTATTTAGCTTTAGCTAAAAGCTATTAAATTACCAGGTCACAGTACATTAGTGTGATAGTCAGTGAGAAGAATGCTCCTTACACTTGTGGTCATTGTGAATAATCGCCCTCTTACAGATAGCTAAAGAAGGTTAATTGTGTCAGTGGGAACTTATCTAAGAGTCAGAAATTTCTCATTGCTCAAGGAACCCCTAACAATCTCTAGAAAAACTCTAGGGTTCTACGGAATCCTGATTGAGAAACCCTGCTCTAAACTGATCAGTTTGCTTAACTTTGCAATTGTCCTGGTTAACCCTAGGCTCACAGCTAAGCCGGTTGCATTTCAGGTGTTTCTGCATTGCGTTTTGTGTTGAATTTTTGCACTTGACGCGTTTTTTTATTTCATTTTTTTTCTTGTTGCTAGGCAGATTTTAAATGCAAAAATGCATCAAAAAAATGTTGCAAAAACGCATAAAAACGCAACAAAAACACAATACATGCTTTTCTGCAGCATTCCCATTGAAGTCTATAGAACCAAAATTGCAACGTTTTGCATTCAAAAATGTCCCTGACCCTTTCCAAAAAATGCAACAAGTAAAAATGTGGAGATGTGAACCTATCCAATAGGAAATCATGTTAAATGAACTGTACTGGGTTTCTGCAAAATGCAAAACGCTGAGAAAATGCTTAGGTGTGAACTTAGGGTGAAGGAGGTATGTATAGATTACCTGTATTTAAATATATCGCTTTAGGGAGAAATATTTCACTTGAAGCTCTTCAAATCTATCACAAAACCATAAAGTACATTCCTTCATCTCATAGCAGTCATCAGAGTAATAAAAATGTTCTAAAATAGATAAGTTATCATCAATAATTCCTGCTAACATTTTACATTGAATTATAAATTTATTTTTTATCTTGCCTGCTACTTTTCCGTTTTCTGCCATCTATAGAGATTGTGAACAGAGATTTAAAAACCACCCTGCGAGTTTTGTACAGCCTGTTCCTCAAACACAAAAACTTGCTGAAATCTTCATGAAAAAGAGAATTTGGACGAAGCAGAGTCACCTGGAGTCCAGCTGAGCCAAAGATGAAAACACAATTTAATACAAAAAAAATTATATATTTTTTTATTTTCAACACCTCTATATTTCTAAATATAAAATAAAGCACATTGAAGGTTAGTGTTCGTTTTATTTTCTGGAGTCAGAGATGGTTTTATAGCTATCAAGAATGATCTGTGGGTTTACAGCATCCGTCTCTGCCGTATCTCAGCTGAACTGAACTTATATATAAAAATACATTTTGTTGTTAAAATAAGTAGGACAACAGCTGCGGAGCTAGAGATTTTTCAATATGCTGCATTATGAAGCAACTAAATCTATTTTTACCCTATGACTTGATAAAACTATATGAATCTCACACATAAAAGTAAAAGAAACCTCCGCTTAATTAAAGGAAAACTTTAAACGCTTTGAACCATAGAGAGTATCAGCGGGACATAAAAACAGGCATCTGGAGGTGCCCCTACATACTGTGAAATTTTCCCTTTGTGCTCTGGGAGCCTCAAAATCCAGGGCACTCTTTTATGCAGATCTTGACAGCTGTAGTTAAAGCTGAACTCCAGGCAAACAGCGAAATACACAGATATCATACATATATAAGAGCTGTTTTACATGCCAAAAGGATTGTACGTCTGTCCATCCACTCCTGAGATTTTTACAGCTCTGTGACCCAGCTCAGCCTTGTCTTTGACTGACCTGTGATGGGTGAAACAGCAGGCTGATGTGTTCATCTCTCTGTCACTCTGCACTTTCCTCCTTTAATGCATGGTACTTGTTAGCACATGAGCACTGCAGCACATCTTCTTGGCTTCTTATGCTGATTTTCCCTCCCCAAATCTGATCTCTGCTATACAGCGATTATACCAGGTCCAATTCAGATACACACACTGTTTGCATTTTAAAAAAAATAATACATTTATCACACTGTATGTATGCAGTAGCAGTGCTGTGACACTAGGCTGCTTGCTGCTGTTGATATGGGTTACAGAACACCTTCTCCTTTCCATTACATGGGGGAAGGGGGTGTTCTGTAGTTCACAGAGATGAACTGGGCAGGGCTGAAACAAGCTTGGGATTTTAGTAATGCAGAAAGCACAAGACCTTATGAGTTTACTGGATTTCTGGCAGGATTAACAGATATTTTATTGCATTTAACAGATGTTGAGCAATAAAAACAATGCGGCTAGCAAACATGTAGAATGCAGCAGGCATCCAGAATATCATCCACTCCCTCATCATATCACGACTCGACTACTGCAACTCCCTCTTTACTGGCCTGCCTCGCCGCTGGCTATCCCCGCTTCAGTCGATCCTGAATACGGCTGCCAGACTCATTCACCTTTCCAACTGCTCCGTTTCCGCCACCCCCCTCTGCCAATCCCTCCACTGGCTCCCGATTGCGCAACGGATCAAATTCAATATCCTAACACTGACGTACAAAGGCGTCCACCACACTGCCCCGAACTACATCACTGACCTAATATCTAAGTACCACCCAGCACGCACACTCCGCTCCTCACAAGACCTCCTTCTCTCTAGTTTCCCTGGTCCTCCTCCCATGCCCGCCTCCAGGACTTCTCCAGGGTGTCACCCATCCTCTGGAACTCCCTGCCCCAACCCAACAGATTATCACCTACTCTCTCTCCTTTAGGCGCACCCTGAAAACCCATCTCTTCAGAGAAGCCTACCCACCCCCTGCTACTTTGCCGACCTCCTCCACTCTCCTACCACTCCATCCCCCACCTACCACTCCATCCCCCACAGCTTTATAAATACTGTATAAATAATAATAATAAATACTACAGATGATTAATTTCATTTTAGGTGCCCTGGTTTATTGTAAGGCCCCGGCTGCATAGCATGGCCATGACTGGCAGCTAGGGGACACTTACAAACAGACCAACAAGGAGCAAATAAGAGAAGTCCATTATTAAGACTCACACACACAAACTAGCTCTGGAGGAGTAGAATCACCTACTAGAAGTAGTCCATTAATGCGTAACCATTTATACAGAATCCAAAATCCTTCAGTACCCACAGAGAGAGTTGAATCCAGGCCACAGAGACTTTGAGAAGAAGTTTAGAATCGTCACTGAATAAATGGTTCACTTTAATTATCCAATTATGTGAAATGCATCTACACATAACTGGGTATTCAAAGTGAAGAGGAATTTGTTTTTCACATGATTGGATAATTAAACTGAACATTCACACAATTTTTGAGAACTTCTTTAGTAAATCAGCCTCTTTGTCTTTTCACAGCTTGACTTTACACTCGCATATCATCTAACAGAAAATAAACTAAAGAAGATGCCCTCTCCTGATCATTTTAAGCCAAGGACTGGAACCCAAACCCACTTGTGTCATAGAATCAGTCCTTATTCCTCCAGAGACACCCATTTAGGGGAACCAAATGCCCCCAAGCAGGGGCGGACTGACAACTTATGGGGCCCCCGGGCAATAGGGGATCATGGGGCCCCTGTGTCCTTGCCCAAACTCAAAAACGTCTATGAAAAAGGTACCAGGGGCATCTCATGGGGCCCCCTACTGACCCCGGCCCCTCGAGCAGTGCCCGAGTTTCCAAATGGTCAGTCCGCCTCTGCTCCCAAGTATGACTTTTGTGCCACAGTTGGTAGGCACCAGGGAGATTACTTTGAGCTTCTGGCTCCACTGGTCAGGTCTGCTGTTAGATGAGTGCCCCAGTCATCTCATTGGCCAAAACACAATTATTATTATACAGGATTTATATAGCACCAACAGTTTGCTCAGCTGTGTGTGAGCGACAGCGATCGCCCACCTCTGGACGAGTGACACCACGTTACCACACCGGGTGACACCAACCCTAGGGGCGCCCCTGATATTATTATTTATATAGCACCAACAGTTTGCTCAGCGCTTTACAATATAACGGGAGACAATACAGCAACAATACAGTTCAATACAAGAGGGTTAGGAGGGCCCTGCTCCTTGGAGCTTACAATCTAAGAATGTGTAGAAGGAACAAACCAGCATGTCTCTGACATCACCAGTGGCAGATATGACTTTTGTCTAATGCACAGGAACACTAACTAAGCAAGAAAGTTCATCCTGGTTCTTTCAGTTCTTTTGAATCCTATTGCCATTCTAGTGATAATCTTCGCCTATATTCAGGGTTCTTCCATCCTTTCTCTGTCACTTGTCCTCACCTATGTGCAAATTCCTCCTGGCCTGTGTTCATGGTATGCTATTCTCAGTATTCGAGCTAGGACTTTCCTTGGTACTCTGTTCCAGCTATCCCCATGAAGGGGCAATCTTGAAAGTTGAGACCGTGTGACAGCTTGCAGTGAACAAATCTGGGACCACTAGGGTTCCTGGCCCATCTCCACCATCAGGAACCATGAGCACCAACTGCAACTTAGATTTTTGTTCCTCAGTCAGCGTCAACTGCCAGGGAACACCTTAACATTTTAGCATAGATCACTTTCTTGTCTGTTAAGTTGATGTTTAAAGTGGTTTTAAATCCAAAACCAAAAATATAACATATTACAGCTTATCGATCCTTAAATGTGGTAGCTGCAACTGTCTTCTGTTTTTTAGGCCGTTATTGTCACCTGGTGATCCTGCCAGTAACATACTTCCTCTCTTAGTGTGTCTCCATTCCATTGGAGGAGCAACAGTGACACCTTTGTTTAGCAGCATTGTCAATCCGGGGAGAGGGTAGTGTTAGATGCTCTACCAACTTTAGATGAACTTGACTAACAAATTAAAGCTGAATTCCAGCTAATACAGTTTTTTTTTTATTCCTTTCGGGATAAAGGTTTTACATAAATGAATAAAAAATTACAATTGTAAGCACCCCTGACATTGGTAAATCCTCCATCTGCCATTTATGCTGGACAGCTTGGTGTGTTAAAGGAAGCTGAAAAATAACAGACCTAAATTGGCCATACACCTGCAGCGTTACCCTGGAGGGGTAGCTGAGAATGACCAGGTCTCCCTTACTACAGTACAATGGTTGCTAGACCCAAACACAGTTCTAAGCACACTGATGAATGTAGGATTTATTGAAGAAAACTTGAACAGGAGAGGGGCATGGGTGCTTGATACTTCAAAACATTAGGAGAAACTAGCAGGAGGACAAATCTTAGACAAAATTGTTTTGTAACAGCCAGGGGCAGACTGACAACTCATGGGGCCCCTGGGCAATCGGGGATCATGGGGCTCCCGGTGTCCCTGCCGACACTCAAGCCACACCCACACAAAGGCCCATCTACATATTGCACTGTCCGCATTACATGCATTTGTCACATCATTTCTCTACACTGTGTTCAAAAAAAATGTTTACTATAGAAAATGTTTAATATGAAAAGTGGCATAGATGTCAGTGATATATATATTGGGAAAGGCACTCAGAGTATAAATATTAGTGTTATATATAGGGAATAACACTAATGTACAGATATCAGTGTTATATAACACTGACATCTTTACACTTAGTGCTATTTCCTAAATATAACACTGACATCTGTACATTGAGTGCCACTCAGTGTATATAGAAATCAGGGTTATTAGATGTAGGGTCGGGATAGGGAATGGCACTCAGTGTACAGACATCAGTGTTATATGTAGGGAATAGCAGTCAGTGTACAGATATCAGTGTTATATATAGGGAATAGCAGCCAGTGTACAGATATCAGTGTTATATATAGGGAATAGCAGTCAGTGTACAGATATCAGTGTTATATAACACTGATATGTGTACACTGACTATTCCCTATATATAACACTGATATCTGTACACTGACTGCTATTCCCTATATATAACATTGATATCTGTACACATTGACTACTATTCCCTATATATCTCACTGATGTCTGTACACTGCGTGCTATTCCCTGTATAAAACACTGATATCTGAACACTGAGTGGCACTCAGTGTACAGATGTCAGTGATATATATGGAAAGGCACTCAGTGTACAGATATCAGTGTTATA